CAATCAACCCCCTTCCTGGGTCTCCTTTCCCCAACACAGCCCCACCCCCACTCCTATTTTTTGCTTTTTCCTCCTCCCCATATTCTCCTTGTCCCAATTGGCCCGTCCATAAATTTTATTTCGTAATGATTTAGTCTATGTAGTTTTAAATCACTAATAATTTAGTCTCTAATATGAAACAATTCAATTTCTAACCATAAAAAATCTCATCCAACTCAAATATTGATTTTTTATTTTATAACAATTTAGTATTTGTAATTTATAAACATATTTGGTCACTCATTAACCATCTACACATATAAGAATCCCTATCTAATTAACTTGACAAAATTTTTTAAGATAAAAAGTAAATCGTTACAAACTTTAAACTATATTGTTACATATTAGAATTTAGGAACTAAATTGTTGCGGACTAAACCATCACTAAAAACTAAAATTTTTTGGAGTAGATGGACTAAATCATTCTACCATTTCTTTGTATTTCATCTTAATCCCTACGTCCAAAAATACTAATCTTTCACTCTTTACTTCGTACCACGTTTACTTACTAATTTGTTGATAAATTAAGAAAAAGGTTGGAAATTGTAATAATAAAAAACAAATAAATGAAGGGGTGGAAATGTAGGTAAGTTTAGGAACAATGAAATGTACCAACAACATCCAAGTTGTCCCTATAAAAGGGACATGGAGATAACCCAGTAATTAAGGGCAGGCCTCTCTGCTTCAACACTGAAATCTTAATGTACACTTGATATTCTCAAAAACATGATTAGTTTTGTTTTTACAAAAATAAGCAAATAGGCACTTGACATTAATTAGACTTAATTAATGCTAAGTATTCCATCTATTTAGATCTACATGGACCATCAAAATTACATCTAAAATCTCCAAATCATGTTATCTGAATATTTCTCAGTGATATGAAATCATTAAATAAATACACAGGAATGGGAAATATATTATATAAACATCTTGGACAATAATGAATTTAAAAGAAATAATGGATTAATATTATAAACCTTTTGATGGGTAAAGCTAAACCACTCTATAGAGGGAGGAGCGGATTAAGAAGAGAAGATTAGATGGAAAGTCCATATCATCGACTCTTTTATATTTAAAATTTAATGCAATGTGATGGATGGAAGTAGCTTTTTTAATTTTTTTTTTCTTTTTTCTTTTTTGGGGTTCGATGAAAGGGAGGGGGCAAAAAGAAAAAAAGAATTTTACATGGCATTTATTTTATTTTTTTGAAAATATTATTATTATAATAGTAATTATAGTATTCGAAATGAATGATCTGGATCCGGCGCGGCTTGCCAAGCCGAAGCGGCGATGAGGGGGCGGCTGTGCCAGCCGAGCGTCAAACAGCCTTCGTTCTCCTCCACGCAGAAGCCCTCAGCGG